GTGAAGGATTAACTTGACTTGAGAAAGCTAGTTAATTAATTTAGGGAAATCCGCCATCACATGCAATAACACTCAACAATTTAGTAATCCAGAATTTATATTGATTGATTATGGTGAAATCAATGCCTTAGTACCTCTTATCTTGATTAGGTTTAATTGTTATTTTTCTTTTATTATTTTCAATTAAAGTTTCTTCCTATTTGATTGTTCAAATAAATTTGGATTAATTATTTTGGTACTTAGTTAGACACAATCCTCGTGGGTTCGATACTCTATTCATCATTATATTACTTGGAGCGACTAGTACACTTGTTAGGGTGATTTTAGTGCAACAATTACAATACCATTAGGAGTATAGAAAAATGAATTGATCAAAAACAAGTGGACTGGATGAAAAGCAAGTAACACTAGGGATGAGAAGTAATAACCTTTATTTCATTGATCCGTTTAGGGTCTGCATCTTCATAGCTAAATGTAACAGTGCCAATTATTCTCCATCTTGGTAGCTGACTGATTCCACAAGGTATAGGTCAGAGTTCTTCTCTCAAGTTCACTAATCTAACATGAAAACAAACAAGAAACCAGAAAAGGTAGATAAATTAGATTTCATGGTCTCGGCCACACAAAGTCATCACACAACAAAATCAACCCAAGAAGAATAACACTGACACGGATGTGAAATTCGGGGAAAAAAAAAAGAGTGGAGAGATTAACTATTGATACTTACGGCAAACAATGTCTGCATGTAATGTGCATCTGGGATACAATTGTGCTGCTTTTGAAGCTTCTGCACAATTTGGACAAGAATATCAATATCTTCCAGGGAAAAGAAGCATTATGTCTGAAGTAAAAATAGGCAGCACAAACTTTTGGGGAATAAAAAAAATAAAAATTCATTGCTTTTTTTCTAAGAAAAAAAATCTTTCTTGGAAGTCCATCTTCCACATACAAAAAACTAGAAATAATATTTTTTTTATCAATGTCCATGAAACAGAGATTGAACATGATTCACCAAACTAATGTAATTAAATAATTCCACTTTGTTACTTTGTTATCTTTCTGTTCCCCTGTTCTATTCACTTCTTTAAGCAAACCTTTTATCTATCAGGCTACTGTTTCCACCATGGTGGCATCTCATTATAGGGCAGTGTGAAGTCCATACATTAGAAAATATAACAAGACACCTGGATTATGTAAAACTAAGGGAGACTGCCTTCTACACTAGAAATCATGGCTTCGAACAATTACCATATTCAGCTTTCCTTTGCTAACATCAAGAAGTGGGCATCGCCGCAACAAGAGAAGAAATTTAGATCTCAAATAAGTTCCACATAGTTATGAATTACTTAATTTGATATATGACAGGACCACTTTCAAAATTGATAAGAGGGCTCTCTTTAAGGAAATTAATGTGGAGGCACCATTTGATAATCTTGGCACAACTTTTATATGTTTAGTTTGACTGTTATTTGTTTGATAATTATTCACAGAGTGCTACAATCTGGATGAGCTTAATTTCATTACAATAGCATTAATGAGATATGGTCAAAATACAAAAAGAAGCCTGTTCCATAATCTTTACTTCAGAAATGAAAATTGGCGCACAGATATGAGCATCTAATATTTAGTGGAACCAAAGACACAACGGTTAATTGTGTACCTTGCGTAATTTCTTAGAAACTGGAAAAATGATCTCATCATTTATAACAACTTCAGCACGGCTTCTTACCAAGGAGATCCACTGCAAATGTAAAATAAGTTCTAACCTGAGCTTAATTTTTTGTATTGGTGGTAATAAAGACATATAAAACTCATGAGAAATAAACAGGGGTACATCTCTATCTTCAACTATTTTTAGAAGGAAAGAGAGGCAAAGATGGAAATAATCAATTCCCATTACTTATTCAATCCAGTTGAAGAATCTAAAGCAGCTCATTAAAAAATCCAGTTCCCCCAACACTCAACTATCTCTATGTTAATTTAATGTTAACCACAACAGAAAAAAGATAACCTGAGATCCTTTCCGCCACTTGTCTTTTGGGATGATAGGTAACATCTTTAAGCTGTATCTACCATCGTTTACATCAAGAAAGATACAAAATGAGGTGATTTCTTAAGTAGGAACCAGAAAAGGCTTAAAACAGATAGAACACTATCATTTCATTTATCATGGAACCATCTGTAAAGAATCAATTCTAGGCACCTCAAGAATCAAGAAGGCTGCCATCTACCTGTCCACGTACCTCCGTGGAGAAGCCATCAGATACTTGTATATATAGCTAAAACTGTAAAGGGGAAGACAACTGCAATACAAAAACAAGAAAAACCTGGATTAACATGAACTCAACGAAAATGTTCGTAGTCCAAGCAACAAACTTGTCCAAGCTTTTACAAACCTGTCAGAAAGCAGGAAAAATCTTTGATTCACCGGGTCTTCTAGAGCACCTGCAAGCAACAACCTCTCTGCTTCTATCATGCTTGATTATCCCCATCTCACCTGCAATAAGAGATTGTGTTATAACTTGATTCCGGGAATGAACTCAAAATCTCATATGCCATTGAACTTAACAAGTTTCTAACAAAAATTATGAGCATAAAAATATATTGAATGGATTAAGTGCTGTTTGGATTGAGGGAAAATGAAAGAAAGGAAAAGATAGGGAATTGGAATTTGGAAATTCCACGCCGTGATTTTCTGGAGTTAGTGGACAGTTCCAGAAAGCCAAACAGAACCGAACGAGAAACGGGACCGCCCGCCGGAAATTTTGCACGTTGTTATATATGGGCTGGACCGGGCCGGGTAGCCGATCAGCCCAAGTCAAAAGAAAATGAGTTGGTCCGGTGAAAGTCTCCTCCTCTCCGTCTGTACTTTCTCTTCAAAATCTTTTTGACTTTCCCTTTGAATCCACCGTGGTAACCACTTGAAATCCATCTCCACCTCCTCCGATTCACTCATAATCTTGGCCATTATCACTCCAATCTCCTATTCAACTAGAATTGAGCTCCGCTGGCATTTTAGTACTCG